AAAAAAAAAAAAAAAACCTCTTTCCAGGTTGTTCTGCCTTTATATCAAATAGTCACCCATTTTATAATGTCAATATATTACATCAGCTATTGAGATTAAAGTGAAATATGAGAATAATGCACTAAAGAAATCAATGAACACTTGACTGAAAATGCAGCGTGTGCCAAGTGATTTTACCTTTCTATTTTTATTTTTTTTATATAACGGGAAAATGAAATTTTGGTCTCTCTTGGAGAGTATATTTTGTTATTATTATTATTATTATTATTATTATTATTATTATTATTATTATTATTATTATTATTATTATTATTATTATTATTATTACTATTATTATTATTATTTCATTTTTCTTCACAGATAAGCAGAAACTCGAGTAATCTGAAGGCAAACTGTTGACACACTTTACTTTCAGAATAATTCTGCAAATATAGAGAATAAAGCACCATGAGATTGAAAATACCGAAAATTGAATAAAAAAAAAAGAATAAAAAAAATAAATTAAAAAAAAAAGGAAAACAAAAACCAGAAAAACACAACACAAACAACAATAGTAACAAAAAAGCCATACCTTAAAATGTGGATACATATGTAGTTGAGGAGGTTGTTGTTCGGCGGAACTAATAAAGCTTCGGAAAAGCTGAGGGGAATGAAGCCTGGTCCGAGACCGATCATCCGTATGCACGTACGTACTAAAGACAAAAGGTACCGTCTCGAACCAGACAGCATTCCCCACAACATTTCATAACACACATTAAGTAGTGGAAACTGTCGTTTTATGGCGTTATACATAAGTTTTCGTTTCCGATGATGAATACTAATCGGTGATGTGCAATTTAATGGAGAAGGAACATTATATATACATAAGGGGTCTGAGTGAGAACAGGGGAGGTTTTAGTTCTTTATTGGACAAGTAGTTTAATTTTCTTTACACCTTTCAAATTATCTCATGCTTTTTACACACACACACACACACACACACACACACACACACAGAGACATATAAATAGCACTTTAATCCAATGACCATTTGCTCCATATAAGAGTAATTCCAAACTTGCAAATCAAGTAATTTAGTAGTGTGAGGGGGCTAAAGTTTAAGTTTGTCCATAAACAACAGCAGTAAAGAGTTATCTAACTAAAGTTAGCAAACGAGTAAAATAGTTTTACGGTTCTCAACGATATTTCTTGCATTAGATTAATTTGTACGACTTCGTCACGATATAAAAATGTAGTTTGGAGTTTTTTCGATTATCTGATTGCAAATCTTGTTATGCAATTTTTACTATCAATCTCATAACAATTGCTTTTTAACTGATTCAACTGTTGTCTTCCACCGGTAAGCAGCATCAAATACTCGAGTGTGCCGCAGAACTAACTTGTCTGTGCTCCAAATGAAAGTTAATATCACACTATATAATCGTCGAATAAATCAAAAATGAAGATGCTAACAATAGGTGAATGAATGTTGGCTTGTTCAAGAGCTTTTAAGTTGCTAGTCTAAAAAGGGTTCTAATGGCCCCCCAAAACATTTCAAATCTCACCCCACATGCTATGTAAATGCACTCAACTAATTTTAAGTTCTAAAGCTTGTAAGAATAGTTACACAGACTTGGTCCCAGGCTGGACTAAAGGAGCAATCCAAGCAACAAGTCAATGGGGACCAAGCGAATAGTTTCCTTTGTGAAAATCGAGCAATTTACTGAAGTGAAGAGAAAAATAACCATAATTTTCAATTACTGGGAATTTTTGCAAGTAAACTAAAAAATCGAAACAAACTCAATTAAATGCAGTCGGTAAATATTCAGCAGCAGCAGCAGCAACAGGTGAAGTATAAACCATCTAAAACCAAAATAATGGCCAACAACTTTCAAGAACAAAAAGAATGTATGTTACAGCAATTTGCAAGTTTTTTAAATACCTTTAGCTTACAGAAATTTGCATCAAATTAATTTACACGATCCAAGCAAAAGAGTTTGTTGTATGAGCTCACCACATAAAATTAACTTCTTTACACTATTAATTTCAAAAAAACTTAGGAAACAGTTAATCATGAATTAACATTAACAGCTGCATGTTTCTCTTCAATCGGATTCGTTTTGAAAGCCTTGTCCATTTTTGGTCCTTGTTTGGTTGGTAGTTCCCTAGTTTTGGATGAAGCATTACCATTTCTTGCATTACTTTTAGGTTTCCCATTTGTGGATGCAACGGAGGGGCTGTCTCTGAATATTGAGAAACTCTCACGAGCCATGTTGTTTGCCTCCCCTGATACTTTTGCGACACGAGAAGTCTTTCTTCGTCCCAATTTTGGCGATTTCGCACGAGTTGGAGGCAGCTACATTTAGAAAGGCATATGAGCATAAAGATAACGATTTTTGCAATCACTAATAGCAAAACTCTAAACTCAATTCATGTTTAACTAAATTACACTCGCTTCACTCACATTTCGCCCATTAAGTTTGTTTTTTGCATTTTAGTTTACACACTTACCTCGGAACTTTTTTTTTTTCAAATTTTGCCCTTCAACCATGGTGTCAGTCTATAGTCATGCTCAGACAAGTGTCATTAGCACTATTTGTTGTGTCCAAAAGGTTAAAATGAAGTAAAACGGAAGAAGAAAAGTTGAGTGAACAGCAAAAAATACTACTGTACATGGGGTTAAATTAATTTGACGTCTTCCCTACTAAAGGTAATGCAAACTGGCATTTCAAAATTTCTCGAACCGAAATGAAGCCCTTAAAGAAAGTACCTTTTTGAGTTCAACCTTGGGAGGTGGGCCCTCATGGTAGAAGCTGGGCATTGGGCATGCCTTGAACATCAAACTCTTCCTTAGTTGCTTGATTGCTGCCTCAGCCTCTTCCTGCAAGCATCAAGAATTAGAGAAGATCGAAAAATGCTTCCTCCACAAAGATACTATAAGGGTCATACTATTGAACAAATATGTACATTTGTACTTGTACTGAAAGTATAAATTTACCTTAGTCCTGGCTTCACATTTTGTTTTCTCTGCTTCCAATGCTTGATGCTTCTCCTCTAATTTTGAGAAGAACTGAAATAGATCCAACGGTTCAAATAAGAAGATAGGAATGCATTTAATTTCGCTTAACCTGACAAAAAAGTCTTCAGAAATTATAATAACAATTACGATGGCTACCTCCTTCCTCCTCTCTGCACGTTCTGTGCTCTTAAACACAGGAGCTGAAGCAACAATTGCTGGCTTGATTTTACAAATTGAAGCCCCATTTCTTAAGGTCGTTGAGGAATAATCGCATTTAAGGGAACAAAAACGATAGAGCCGTAGAGTCTCTCAAATTAGGAAACGATAAATTGGTATAAGAGAAGAGAAGCTATTATATATTTGTATATAGACATAAAGAATACAATGAGGCAACTGAACAAGTATCTCCATCGGGGTGCTTCTTGTTTGTAGGTTGCAATGGCTTTCTTTGTAAAACAGGTGAGAATTTCTGCACGAAAAGATGGTGAATGACGTGAGGATTAGTAGTTCACAAGTTGCTAAAGATGCTCAAACCAAAAAATATATATGTGAAAGACTAATAATATGTGAAAGATCATAAACATCAAGTCCATTTAATTACCTAACCTTAAAGAAGTTGGAAATAAAGAACAACTAAAATTTTAGTAACGACTAGAAAATGGCCTCCGAGCATTCAAACTCATAGATGCTAGACTTCAGCACATTTATGTGATGGAGGGAGACACACACACACACACAGAGAGAGAGAGAGAGAGAAAGAACAATAAAAAATAATTGCAGGCATCGACGCATGATACTTAGAATGTACCAGAAAGATCTACAAAAGGGGAGTGAGAGGTTTACTTTTGGTAACTTATCTCCTGTTTCTGTATTGTCACCCTCAGTCCCACAGAGACGAGGTCCAATTGATGCCCGTTTTTCAGTTGCCATTGCAAATGGCTGTGGGACTGTGAATTTGTTTCTGCAGTTACCAACGGCAGTTTTGGCACTCTTTTCAACACAATCTATCGTCTTATCATCACCAACTATGACTTTATTCTCATTCTTCACGCTTTCCCCTGACAGGTTCAATTCACCATGATTGAAGCTCAGAACATCCTTCTCGTGTGCCTCAACTTGACAGAGTTTTGTAACCTCATCCGTACTTTCTACGTCACATTCTTTTCTTTCATAATGCTTTATATCGGAATTTTCATTCAGTGGGTGCTCAGGATGGGGGTCCCGATTCTTGAATTCGCATGGCTCGCGCAGATTACGCTGAGTGGCATTCAGATAAGTTGAATCATGGCCATCTGAATAAACGATGATACCAACGGGCTCCTTGTCAATATGAGTTTCGGCACCTTCGAGCCCCATATTATTACTGAGTCAAGAAGCAAACATGTATTGAGCAACTCGATTAATAAACATCTGAGTGCCGTCAATGTTGACAATCTTATAAGATAACTGCCTAAACCAGGGTATCACCCTGAACATCAGTATTGAAGAACAGTAACTTACCCCAAAATTTAACATATCCAACCATCAACACAAGTTAAGCAAAAATGATAAAGCTTTTCGCACACATCTCAACGGGCGATAAGTTGTAGCACAACCACAAATACGATACTAACAGCGCGGACACAAAAAGTGAATCGATAAGCAAAAAAAACAGTTATATCCATCACGGTCAATGAATTTTAACATCATCATAACTACACAATTCAATTGACCCACATTAAAATAAGCACGGAATCAAAAACACAAAAATTGGTAATGAATCAATTGAAATGAATAGCAATGCAAGAACCACCATGTTAGATCTATCCCCATTAACAACATGAAATCAGATCAGGATACATGTATTCATAAACATATAGGCATACATTTCTCATGAACAATATATGCGTGATTGCGTGTAGGAACAGAGCAACATATAGAGATCAAAATGCGGGGAAAAAGCTTACGAATGGATATGGAGTTTGGATGCTTTGAATTTCTGCTGTTATCTGGAATTCCGAGTTCCTTACCGAGAGATCTGCAGAGCTCCCTGCGTGTGTGATAGTTATTTTACGTTAGTGCAGTGGGATTTGTTATTCCTCATCGGAGCGAGTTTATGTATAACGGCGTTAGTTGACAGAGGTTGAGAAAAATTTGAAACTTCCAAGAGTGGAAAAGATGAGAAGTGGATTTGAATTAAAGATTATTGAGGTGAAGAAGATAAGGGTGAAATGACTTCATTGGCCTTTGGTTGGAGGTAAAAGTTTTCAAATATTTGTGATCTGAATTTCCAAACTTTGAAAAAAGGACAAGAAAATACCACTAGCAATGCATTTAGTCGATGCCATCCGCACGGGTGGCACCCATTTTTACTGTACCCGAATCAAAAGCTGACACGTGGCAATTTCTATTTCACACTTTATTTTTTTTCCCAGCCCTTTACTCCCATTTTCCAGTTGGGATGACTCTATTTCAGATTTTTTTTTTCATTTACGTGAACCATGGTTTAAACCATGGTTCCTAATCATATCAAGAGCCACAAAAGTCGTGCCTTTTAGATCTGGAAATCAAAATCATCTCGCCCGGTTCCAGAATATCGGACGAAATTCTTCACCTTTTCATCACCAGCATTCTCTCCTGATTTCACCGGTAAAAATTCTTTTGGTTCTTTTTTACAGGATAAAATTAGGGTTCTTTGATTTATGTTGATTGTTGGGTTCTTGCATTACACCTCGTGATTGGGTTAAGTGTTAATGAATGAATTAATGTTTTGGTTTCGTTGATTGAGTACTAATCTTTTAGTTTCGTCGATTTAGTATAATTTGTTGTAAATGTTGAAGCTTTAGGGGTGATGTCAAAGTTTTCATCTTCTGGCTCTTCCCCTGAAAATTGATACATTTCTGTATCTGATTCCATCTTATTGATCTGTATATGTGTTTTGTTATCAATTATCAATTGCTTTTGTTACTGAATTTTTCTCAATTATTGTAGCCTGTTTACATGTTATGTAAATGGATGACTGAGTGAATTGCGTGGGCTTTGATTTACTAAATTTGCAAAAACCTTTGAACTATTTCTAAATTGATTTACTGTTAGGTTGTTACGTTGATGAGATTACAAACTAATTATGTTTAGATGTATGTTGATGAGTTTAGAAACTTACATCCCAACTTTTGCTAGTTTCTATTCCAACTTTTTTGCTCGGTGGTTTGTAATGTGTTGGCTGAATGTTAAAAAAAAAAAAAAAGTATTTTCTAGCTGATGCATTGGTAAACAGGTTGTTTTAATGTAGAGAGTTTAGGAAGAATAAGCTCTATTCTATATGTTTTATGGTATTGGAGTACAAAAAAGTGATAACATAAATCAAAGGGCAGTTTGTTTGAATTTTCGTATTCATTTGACATGATTGCAAGTTGTTTTTGTGGTGTTGGTTTGAAAGATTGAATCTTTATCCCTATCTGAAATTGCTACTTGAGTAATGGTTTATTTTAGTGATTTTATAACTCCTGCATTGTTGTTCACGAATTACATATGCTTGTGGTTTTGACTCAAGATTTGATGAGGCTGAAATTGAGAATACTTTGGTGGCTCACTTGTGTTGTTCACTTATCTCCATCTGCATTTGCATTTAATGTACCAGGATTGCTTGATGGCTTTTCTGTATCACATGCAGAACTTAAAATATACTTTAAGCCAATAATGGTGAAAGCATACACCTGTAGCTTTTAAAGGAGTATCTCAATTGTTTATAATTATGTTATTTATAACTCTTTATGTCTTGCTCTGTCTACCAGGTATAATTAAATTTGTTCCTTATGACTTGTTGTCTCATTTTCTTTTTTTGTGTTGCTTGAATAATAACATTTTAATTTTTCTTTTTGAAGGTTTGATAATGTCACAGACTTCAACCACTAAGGAAGAAGTTAGCATAAGCGAGAAAGGCTTAGTGGATCGTGAGAGCTACAAAGATGTGAAAAAAAAAAAAAAAAACTTGATAAGATTTTTAATTTATTACTTGTGTTATTTCTAGTAGTAATTGTAATGTTTGTTATTATTGTAATGAAATAAAAAAGTTGGTATTTTTACTACTTGGACATGAATATCTATTTTGTGATATGAAGGAAATGAATATTTTTATTTTTATTACTTGTGTTATTTTTACTAGAACAAATCCCGTGCGATGCACGGTTAAGAAATATTTAGTAATATTTATAAATTAAAAAATTTAATAATATTTATAAATTAAAAATATTGAATCAGCATGTTATACGATTTACCTATATTAATTAAATGAAAATGTTATTTAAAATTTGAATTGTGCAAAATTACATAAAATATGTCTATCTAAAATTAGTACACAACCCGTGTGATGCACGAACTAATAATAATTACATTAATTTATTAAAAAATAAGTGATATTTTAAAATTTTATTGAGAAATTTGATTTGACTACAATATGATTCCATAAAATAAATATTTTGATAAAATTTTGTCATCTATTTAAAAATCTATTCGAATAATAAGTATAATTGTAAAACTTATATTATTTCATTAATTAAAATAAATTTAAATTTTATATGAACTATCTAAATAAAAAAATTAAATAGTTAAATAATTTATTAAATTATAAATAATTGATCGTTTCATTTGCATCCAATCCAAGTCAAAATTGACTCGGGCCGGATTTTATTGTGGAGGATATGCATTAATTAGTTAGGAAAGATGGATATCAAAATATTATTTAATAATTTTTATAGAGTACGTGTGATTCATAATGTGTCGTTCATAATACAAAATATATATATTAACAACTTTAATAAAAAATAGGATTTGTATTTATGAAATCAATTATAATTTTTGCATAAGAATCTCCAAATTTGTTACCTTAAGAATCTCCATTTTTTTGGGATATCTCACAATAATTTGTTTCCTAAAGAAATTAAGTTGCCTAAAAATAGAAAAAAAGTTAGGATTTAGGTCCTAAAATAATGTAATTTATTATTATGAAGAAAAACAAATCAATATATTTACACCCGAAAATTCATAAACATAAATAATTTATGAAGGAGTGGAGTTTATCAATATTTAATATAACATCCATTATTTTTGGAACAAATTATTTTGTTAGATTTGAAACAGTAATTTGAATGGAAAAAAAATCCGTAATTGTTTGGATATCTCAATTCAAAATCTCAATTTTTTGGCATAAGAATATCCAAATTTGTTACCAATAAAAATGGGATTCGTAGTGATAAAATGAATTAAAATTTGGCATATGAATCTCCAAATTTGTTACCTTAATAATCTCCAAGTTTTGTGGGATATCTCATTAAATTTAATTCCTAAAGAAAATAAGTTGTTTCAATCAAATAGTTCATATATTATTTCAATTAAAGAATATAAACCACCAAAAAATAGAAAAGATGTCAGGATTTAAGTATAAAATAATATAATTTATTATTATTTTAGAAAAAAATCAATATATTTACACAAAAAAATATAAATATAAATAATTTATGGAGGATTGGATTTATTAATATTTAGTATAACATCCATTATTCTTGGAACAATTTTTTGTTTGATTTGCATCATTAATTTGAATGGAATAAAAATCCGTAATTGTTGGAATATCTCAATTCAAAATCTCAAATTTTTGGAATAAAAATCTCCAAATTTGTTACCAATAAAAATGAGATTCGTATTTATGAAATGAGTTAAATTTTGGCATAAGAATCTCAAAATTTGTTACCTTAAGAATCTCCAATTTTTTTGGGATATCTCCCTTAAATTTGATTTCTAAAGATTCACATGTGTTTTTTCAAAATTTTCACTAATAGTAAGTCAACACTTAATTTTTAAGTCAAAGTTACTATTTTTGTATTTTTCCAACAACCTCTTTATATTACTATAGATTTTATTTTTATTTATCTTTTCTCTCAACAAGTTGGTGTAAGTTGTTACAAGTGTAACCTGAACTTATTACATTCCCCTATTATTATATTGGTGAGTATCTGGTATTGCTGTTGCAAATAGAGTTACTTACATGTTAGAAATGAAGATTAAAAATGGCATCACAAACCACAACACAAATCTACACATTCCCGTATTTTTTGCTCTTACCTCAAGAGAGGCATAAATGGAAAAGAAAATTACATTCAAAGTGCACCTGAAACAAAATGTAGTAAAGCTATACACATATAACAGAACAATAATCTTATGTAGTCTTCTTTAAAGCACCACGAAGGTAAGATTGGACCTTCACCAAAATGAATCCATAAGAACAGTACACAAAATGAATGTCACTAACAACACTATTACACCACAATAAAGATCAATCTAAAAATAGATGAGACAATGCATTTGCTAAAATCGGATCACCAGTATCTTCAATTATCGGAGGGTCCCTACAAAAACAATATTAAAATGGTAAAGATTATAACATTATACAATAGTAATTTACAAAACAATAGATTTGGTCTGATGTACCTGTGATGAAAAGGGATCCTTGGTAACCTAAAAGATTAAATGGACCTACACTGATGTTTCTATTTCCTCCATACACATTAAAAAATAAATAAATAGAAAAGTATTTATTTTATTAATATTCTTGTAGAACAAAGTAATAAAAGCATCATTTACCTCTTGATTTATGTTAGGCCAAAACATCAGAGCCAGAGCCGGAGCCTGAGATGGATAATGTGGAACATAATTTGAGGGGCATGTGTTGACATCCTTTTGAGAAGATTGAGTCGGGCCACCTAAATTAATGTTTCCACTTTCTCCCTACAGATTAAAATAAAATAAATAAATAAATAAAGCATTAATTATATTCTTGTAGAACAAAGTAATTAAAAAATTACTTACCCCTTGATTTATGTTAGTCTAAAACACCGGAGCATGAGGTGGATAATGTGGGACATAATTTGGCACTCCAATGTTGACATCATTTTGAGAATATTGAGTCGGGCCACCTAAATTGATGTTTCTACTTCCTCCCTACATATTAAAATAAAACAAATAAATTAGTAACATTCTTGCAGAACAAATAAAAAAAAAAACATCATTTACCCCTTGATTTATGTTAGTCCAAAACACCGGAGCATGAGATGGATAATGTGGGACATTATTTGGCACTCCCGTGTTGACATTATTTGTCTCTCCCTACACATTAAAATAAAATAAATAACAAAGTACCAATTTTATTAAATTTCTCGTAATCTTGTAGAATAAAATAATAAAAGTATCATTTACCTCTTGAGTCTTCTTTTTTGACCTACTTGAATTTCCCACCTTTTCTTTGCCCCGTTTTTTTTCTTGCTCTTGTCGTCCCAATGACGCCTTATTTGAGCATTTGTAACTCCCCTTGACTTGGTAGGAGGTGGATTGCGGAGACAGACATTATCTTCATCACATGAATCATCCATGTCCAAATTCTTCAAAAGAGAAGATATTTCTTCATTTGCTTCTTCAAGGATTTCAGTAAACCTACTTCCCGTCTCCCGGTGAGATTTGTTTAAATGAACCAAGTCATAAGAGGTCCTCATAGCATGGTTCACAAACGTCAACTCAGAAACACCACCATGCCCATGAGGAGTATATCCTCTTTCAAATTCATTACAAAACCTTTGTTCTGCTTTTCTTGACGAACGACTCATAATATATGGCTCGGGCAACACAATGATATTCATAGAAATGAAAACCTTTAGTGCATGTCTGCATAGTATTCCTATTGTCTCAAACAAATGACAGGAGCAATTCACTTCAATATTATTTTGCCGAAAAAACACTTGCCTAACTTTTGAGTTGTCGGTATGAGGCCGCACATTGAATCCAAGCCAACCATTACCAACATCATTCTGAGCAATTATTGCAATATTCAAAGACTCAACAAATTTTCGCTCGAATAACTTATATATTGAGAAAGTATATACTTAAGCGGCATGCGACAACAAGGGATTATTTTTAACAATTTGGCCCGGCCTCCCATGGCTACAATGAGCATTGTCATCTTTCTCAATAGCCCTCCATTTTTTTTGGACTTTTTCACAGTTCAAAACAAATTGGTGCAAAGTAAGAGCCTTATTACCCAAATTTTTCAAGACACGATTTGTTACCTCACTTTTTGAAGTGGCTAAAAGACCTGCACAAAATTTGTCATTACAAAAAGTCATGGCCCATCTCTTTCTCAATTTTGTACATACTCTTTAGCCATCTGTCTGTTGGGATCAATGAAAATCTCGTTATGCAAAAATCACGAATTCAATAGCAAAACGTAAACCTATGCGCAGCGGATCTAAAGGTTTGCGTAGAGAACTTACGGCTTAAAATTTATGGCGATCTAGTTGATCTTCTGGATGGCCGTACACAGCACACCAATGAATAGTTGACTGCAAATCGCGTCCTAGGGTTGCACAAACAAGATCGGATCGAAAACCGGATCAAACGAGTGCAAAAATAGAAGAAGACAAGATGCAGTCCTGGGAGCTTTCGGCGGCGCGTGAGGGTGCGTCCGACGTCGGATGGTGGCGATCTCGGCGGCGTTGGAAAGCTCTCGTCGAGTCGGTCGTCTGGGTATTCTGCACGTCTTGATCGGACCTCCAGTTAGTTCTGTATGACCAAATATATTTCGTCTCACTTTACCCAAAGATTTTCTACTGTATATCTCAAACACCTCTTACTCTTGTACCAGTGGAACAACAAGAAGAAGATAAAGCTCGAATGGGAACTGAGAGAGAGAAGAGAGGCGTGAGATGTGAATTCCAAGATAATGAATTCTCTTCTCTTCCCATGAGCTTAATGATGTATATATAGAGCTACAATAGAGATCCTTAGGAGATTAGGATTAGGGCTCCTTAATTAATTAAAATACTTGTGGACCAAGCTACTTATTTTAATTAATTAAATAATATTAAATGGGCTACCAACATAATATTATTGTACTCTCTTTTTCTAGCCCAATTTACAATTGAGACTCCAATAATAATTACTCGATTTATCTCCCCATGTTTAAGATATAATATCCATTGATTAATTCGATTACTGACAATCAAGAATTAATTAATTTATTATTATTTCACCGAAGCTAGCACTCGTTCATCACATTATTACTATGCCGAAATTTAATCCACCTGCAGGGTTTAGCATAATAATCCTTCATGAACTCACTCCGGGGACATATCAAACTAACGCACATGGTGACCGTAAATATCGTAACAGCACATCCTACATGTAGCAATATTACCCAAGAAAGCGAGTCTATTGGCCCAGTTCAATAAGCCTCACCCATGTGGATGAAAGTAATAAATACTACACATATATGTTTGTTTAATATCTTACGGTTTAAGAGTACGCAGTAATTAACCGAGGCCTAGTTCGTTTACGATGATCAGTATAAAACGAACTGCTCCTCTCTGGGATCCTGTTCAATATATAAATGTACTAGTGCAACTAATCAGTCAAGACAAAATGTACAGTTGACACTACAACCGTTCACGATGGGGTGTTCATGTCCATCTGGGTTGTGAACCACTTATTCTTGTTTCACGAGTAACTGATAGCATGATCTTCGCTTCGCCGATGACGACCCACACTATCTAATGCAAAATAACAGAACGTAGAACTTGTTTAATCTAACATGTTCTCATTCATAAAGGGTAAAAGTGTAATATCATCCAAAGCCAAGCTTTCAGTATATAACACTAACAATCTCCCACTTATACTTAAATCTTTCGCTTTTACAAGTATAGTCCTATCAATCCGTTATTCTAAAAGACCTATGTCGATCCTATCGCCATGCACTTGACTTCCATTCCTGTCACGTGTTTGACGAAGACCTTCTCCGGCAAACTCTTCGTGAAAGGATCAGCTAGGTTGTCCTCAGATGCAATCTTGGCAACATGAACTTCTCCTCTACCAACTATCTCATGGCAACATGAACTTCTCCTCTACCAACTATCTCTCGGATCAGATGGTACTTGCGCTCTATGTGTTTACTTGCTCTGTGGGCTCGTGGTTCCCTTGAGTTTGCTACTGCTCCACTGTTATCACAGTACATAGTGATACCACGTGGCAAACTCGGAATCACCACTAAGTCCACTAAGAAGTTTCTATGCCAAACTGCCTCTTTCGCTGCCTCTGAGGCTGCTATGTACTCGTCTTCCATGGTGGAGTCTGCCACTGCTTAGCACTCCTCCATGAAATGGCTCCACCTTCCAAGGTAAACACATAACCAGAGGTTGACTTACTCTTGTCCCTATCTGACTGAAAATCAGAATCACTATAACCCAGAGGTAACAAGCTGTCTGCACAGTAAACTAACATGTACTCCTTAGTCTTTTTCAAGTACTTGAGTATATGCTTAACCGCAGACCAATGTTCCCTACCCGGATTACTTTGATATCTGGCTACTAAGCCAACGACGTAACTGATATCTGGCCTGGTACAAAGCATAGAATACATAAGACTTCCTACTGTCGATGCATAAGGAACTGTCTTCATGTCCTCAATCTCTTGAGGCGTCTTAGGAGACATCTCCTTAGAGAGAGAGATTCCTTTCCTGAAAGGCAAGGTACCTTTCTTGGAATCCTGCATGCTAAACCTAGCCAAGATAGTATCTATGTATGATGAGTGGGATAAGCACAACATTCTCTTCTTACGGTCTCGAACGACCCTAATACCAAGAATGTATCCTGCTTCTCCTAAGTCCTTCATATCAAACTGCTTAGACAACCACACCTTTACGTCTGACAACTCCTTCTTACTGTTTCCAATATGAAGTATGTCATCCACGTACAACACAAGAAACACCACCACACTCCCACTGATTTTCTTGTACACACAGTGCTCATCCGGACATTGAGTGAACCCGTACGACTGGATCACCTCATCGAACCGAATATTCCAAGATCTCGAAGCTTGCTTCAATCCATAAATGGACCGATTAAGCTTACACACTAGATGCTCACGTCCTTTTGCAATGAATCCCTCTGGTTGCTGCATATAGATGTCCTCCTGAAGGTTTCCGTTAAGGAAAGCTGTCTTGATATCCATCTGCCATACCTCATAATCCATATAAGTGGCTACAGCTAAGAGAATCCGAATAGATTTAAGCATAGCTACTGGCGAAAAGGTCTCATCATAGTCTATACCCTCAATCTGGATATAACCTTTCTCAACAAGCTAGCTTTGAAGGTTTGCACCTCTCTATCCGATCCTCTCTTTCCATTGTAGATGTAATATCCCGCCAGTTTTAGTATAAATTAAATTATTAATTCCGATATTAGTTTTCAGAATTAATTATTTTCAGTCAGTTCAGTCGAGATTACCAGAAATTATTTTCGACGTATCGTTTACGTTCGGAATAATTTTGGTAATTAAGCATTATGTTTAATTAAAGATTAAACATAAGAGAAGTATTAATTATTAATTAATCACACATTAATGAACATAAAGCCGTACGGAAATTTTAATTTCCTCCATAAAGCATGCATGTTAAGTGAGGAAAATTCCAATTTCATGTTAATAA